TCACCAGCAGGCAGCGGGACAAGTGTGTGGGGCCAGAGGCCAGGACCTGGTCCCCGCTGGAGGCTGCATGGCCATGGCACTGCCGAGCCTGGCAGAGCTGGGGCTGGGGGACATTGCAGCCCCCCCACCTCCGGCTCCTGTTTAGCGCAGGCTGTTTCCACAGGTCAGCTGAGTTTGAGTCGGGGAGGCTCACCGTGGCTGGGCTCTCCAGCCCTGGGATGAGCGGGCGCTCCTCCCGTTTCCCTGAGAGGTTTTGCTCCTGGGGCAGCACATGGCCCAGGATATCGGTGCTGTGTGTCCGTCCCTCCGGCGCAGCTGTGTGGCCCAGCTCGCTGGGGGCTGCTGGAGGGTGGAGCGGGTGTGGGAGGGGGCGAGAGGCTGGTGCTGCCGGCACAGTTACTGGAGTGGCTAAATGGGCGCTGGGAAACAGCCGCTGCTGTCCCCGCTCGCCAGGATAGCCAGGCTGGTCGCCATCTGCTTCCTGACCTGGATATTAAACTGCAGCAAATGATGAAATATGTCCATGGGAAGAAAGTTTTCTCTGCCTGCCAGAGCATTTTGCTAGAGGGACGGAAGGACAGAAGGTCGGAGGAGTGGAAGGACAGAAGGTCGGAGGAGTGGAAGGACAGAAGGACAAAAGGTTGGAAGGACGGAAGGACATCGTGGGGAAGGGTGAGCTGGGCAATGGGCTGACCTATGGATGGAGGCTGGGTAGTGTTTTTAACCAGGTGCCTCACAGCCTGCGGAAGAGCTCCCCAGGGCCATGGAACCCCCCCAAGGTCCCAGGGGAGAGCACAAGGGCAGTCCCAGCCAGTGCAGGTGGCTGTGGCCACCCATCTCTGCAGCCCCCAGCATCACTGCACCCCAGGGCCAGCCCACTATGACCGACTTCCCTGTCCCATGGATGTGGGTCATGCAGCATGTGGACAGGTCTGTGCAGATGGCACTGGCTGGCAGGGCCACCAGAGCACCCCCGCCCGCTGGGCAGCCCCCAGCTCCTTCCACTTGTTACACTGGGCTAATTGGTTTAAGAGAGATTGCTGGGTCACTAATTACGGAGCCTATTGAACAGCACATCTAAGCTTAGGGATACAATTAAAAGTTCACCCTAATTAATCAGGGGTAATTAACAGACCTTGCATTTCTCTGACATTAATTAATCAAGGAATCCAGAGCAAATCAATGTGGGCATGGGGGAATCAGAGGAGGGAGTGTGTGGGTCTTGCAGGGGTGATGTGCTCCTTCACCCACTTTTCTGGGCTGGGACCAGAGCCGAGGTCCCCACGACAGCCCTGATAGCCCCTGAGCCTGTGTCACCCTCTGCCCACTGCCAGGTCTGGACCCCGCTCAGCTTCCTCCTCAGCACAGGGGTCTGTGTGGCGCAGTGACTTGGGACCTGGGTTCTGCTGTGGGTCTGGCCAGTGATAGCACTGTGGTGCTGCCACCAGCACTGCAGGGATCTGTCCCCACAGGGTCCTGCGTCCAGCCCACCAGAGCCTTTGTGCCCTGCTCCACCTGTCCTCGCCGTGCCCCCGCGGGCAGCAGTGCCTGTGAGGGGCCGCATGCCCAGAGGACACAGGGCCAGTGGCCGAAGCCCCACAGTGTCCTCGGCCAGGGGCTGCTGCAACCACGGCAATCATTAGCAGTGGTTTGGCTGCAACTGCCTCATCTCCAGCTCCCTAAGGAGATGCATATTGAGATAATCCAGACAAAATGATAGATGAATGTCGGCGTCTTGTGTATGGATCTGGCTGGGGGTTTGCAATATTTTGCTGCTAAGGAAGCCCTCGTTTGTGGTGTGATCGAGGACCCCGTGCCAAAGCACGGAAATTGATGTGCTCATAGCAGGAAACTTAATCACCAGAGGGGAAATGCCCACCTCGTTTTTCTCATGAAAGAGGAATGCAGCACTTTGATTTTTGGCTCCAGTATAAACAGGGTGTGATTAAATATTGTTTCCCCTCTCTTTCTTGTCATTAATCAGGATATAGCTGCGAGCGCTGGGTGTGACGTGGGGACACTTGCTTTGATTCCTCAAGTTCTTAAATGGTTTTGTTCTCTTTTCAATCCCATTAAAAATAGCAGGCGAGGTGTTCAAAGTTCTCCTGCTGAAGAGTGCTTCTGATCTGAAGGATGTGTGCTCACGGGGAACGTGCCTTTGGCAGGGAGAGCACCCGCCCGTGGCCATGTGGCTCCTCCCGCACCTGCACGTGTGGTGCCACTGTGCCGAGCCACGGCAGGCCGGGGCGGCCGGGGCAACCTCACACCACTGAACAGCATCCCCGAGCAGCTGGGGCACCGCCAGCCCTGCCAGGGTGGTGAAGCTGTGGCCCCCTGGCACTGCCCAGCCAGAGCAGGCAGTGCCCACTCCAGCTGATACAGGCACCTGACACAGGGAAGTGCAGGGCAGCCCATGCCCTCAGGACCCTCAGCAGGGACCACATAATCAATGATACAGGCTCAGCCAGAGCCTCTCTCATAGCAGTGTTTATGCCCAGAGCCCCACGGACCACGAGCAGGGGAGGGTGGCTGGAGGGAGTTCTTGCCCACGCTGCCTGGCAGAGCTGCAGGAGGCTGCCGGAACAGGGACAACAGTGAGCACCCCAGACTAGGAGCCTCTCAGAGCAGGGGCTCTCCTCCCACCACCCCTCCACTGGCCACTACATCTGCCACCTCCAGTGCAGTCAGAGGTTGCTGCAATGTCAAGAGTGGCTGGTTTAGGCTGTTCCCAACAGGTGCAGAGCTGTGTCAATGCCAGTGGGTTGCAGGAAGAAGACTGCAGGCAGGGCAAGCTGCTGGGAGACCTTCACACTGGGCAGGATGGGTCCAGCCTTGCAGCCCCTTTGCCCACCTGGGCTGGCAGCAACCTGCAGCTCTGTGCTTGCATCGTTCCTGCCCAGCAGCTGCCTGCACTCACCACATGGCCCTGACTGCAGCTCGCTGAGACGGGGAGCACGTCACTTCTTCACTCCCACCCGTGTGCTTCGCTCTCTCACAGCTCGGGCGCCCATGGAAATGCACCAGAAACTGCTTTCAAAGGAGTTAATTTTAGTGCAAAGCTGCCACCGAAGCTTCTGCTGTTCTGCCTGTCACAACCTCTCGTGTCTGGTACAGCCATGTACCTGTTCCTCCACGAGCTGTCTCACGAGCCCACAGCCAGGCCCCTGCCCAGCCATCCCCATGGCGAGCCCTTGTGGGCCCCTCTGGGCCACCCCAGCCCCAGGTGAGGTCAGTCAGGACACTTCAGCGGGCAATGGGTGAGGCTTCAAAAGCCTCTAGCAGTGCAGGGCTGTCAGGAGAGGGGTTGGTGTTGCCTGGACTTTCTGCATAGACTTGTTCTGTGGGGCTCAGGGGGTCCCCTGGGCCATGCCCAGTGGGTTCCCAGGGCCCGTACAAGTACCAGAGCCATGGGGCTGCTCACCCAGAGGAGACAAGAGGAGAGAACCACTGCCAGGTGCACAGCAGCCCCTGAGGATCGTACAGGTGTATTGGTGCTGGATTTGGGGTGCTGCAGAGACCCCTCGTGGGTGAGGGGCTGCTTCCTCTGGAGCCATGGCTTTCCTGCAGCCCGAGACCTCTGACAACACTCCCTGCTCTCCTGGTCTTTTGTGGCTTTTTTAGCCAGCCTATGGTGGCTTCCAAATGGGGCAGTGACACCTCTTGGCATGTGGGGGGGACCCCCAGTGCAGTTAGGAATAAGAGGGCTGCCCTTCCTTCACCAAGCAATGGTGCCAGAGGAGGCAGCAGTGTTGGAATTGAGTGTGAGTTACCCAATCCTCTCCCTTCAGTGGGAGCGGGGCAGCTTGCTTCTGATTTTCTTCCTTCAAGTTTACGTAAGGCAAGGACGGGTTACAGAGCTGTGGAAGAGCCGGGCTGGCTGAACATGAGGTGACACTGAAAACAAGCTTCAAAAAAAAATTACCAGCTTGTGTTTGAGTACAGATTCCTCATTTGCAGTTAAATATAATTGTGAAGGTCTGTGAGCCAGAGAGATATTTCTAGTTATTGGAGAACTAGCTCCTGCCCCTGTGATCCCCGAGGAATGATAATGAGATTTACCCTAAGCAGGCACTGCGGCGAGCCTGGAGAGCTCCGTGCACGATGGTGTCTGATGAGAGCAGAGATGGTTACGGGGTCCCCGCCTGCCGCAGCGCGCAGATGAACCCTGCCACTGCATCATTTTCTGTGTTGCTCACACAGTGCCTGATGCTGACAGACCCTGCAGGGCTGCCTGGAGCCCTCTGACACCGGGGAGGTGGCTCTGGCTCCCTCCAGGGCAGAAAGGATGCTCGTGTGGGAGAGAGGGAGGATCCAGCCACTCTCTGGGGCCAGGACATGGGGAGCTTGTGGGTCATCCTTGCCCTTCCTGCACTGCCTGCTCCCAAGGCCCTTGCCTCGTTTTCCTCAGGTCCTGGTATATCTCCAATCCGAGCACACACAGCCAGCAGGGGCCCAGCCCCACAGGCAGGATTCAGCCACTGTCCCACAGACCAGGTGGTCATGGCTGGGACAGAGGGTCAGCCTAACCTGGCACCCTCATTCTCATCTGCTGGATGCAGTGCTGGGGTCGGTGCCTGCTGGACCTCATCGTGGTGGGAACAGCCCTGGCCCCTGGTGTGGTGGGTGGCAGAGCTGCAGCACAGCCCCTGCTACAAGGGGCAGGAGCTGCAGCCTGAAGCAAGGGGAAGGGCACCAGTGCACCCCTGCCCACCTCGGTTATGGTCTTTGCAGCGTCAGTGACAGATATGTAAGGATTAAATTGCAGTAATCTCTGTAATCTACTCAGCAAGATTAAAACCTCCCCCCTCCCCCAGACTTTATCCCTTTCATTCCAGGACTCCTGAGCAGTGATTACAGCTGGGGGAAGCCATTTAGCTTTTAAGCACCGTTCCATCCTTCTTAAAAATGCATTTCAGAATCAAATGAGTTTGTGCAGCGTGGCCAGAGCTGGCTGCTCTGGCTGGGCAGGAGGCTCGGAATTAGGACCAAAGTAGCTTGAGTCAGAGTCAAAATTAAATTTATTGTTTCTGGCCTTATTGGGAATACAGTGCATTTACAACTGATTAACAAGGCTTAACAAGAGTTCAGACTCAATTCAAGGCAGCTCCAAAGCCTGTGCTTCCACTCTGCTGTCTGATGGGCACTTTAGGACTCCACTGCCCTTGGGAGACCCCACACTGCAGCACTGGGAGATCTGCCAGCCAGTGTTGGGTTGGGTGGGGATGAGCCAAGGGGCTGCAGGAGCCAGGATCAGCCCTCAGAAGGAGCTCTGGGGCCAGGGCAGTTGAAGCACCATTAGCTGATGGGACTGAGCATCACCTCCCTCCTCTGCACCAAGCCTGTGGCTCTCACTAGGCCAGGATGGTGTGAGGGTTACACCAAAGGAGAGGGAGGGACAGAGGGAGGGAGGGAGAACCACATGAGTGCTGACGGCTGCTGCAGTGATGGTGGAGCCTTTGGGAGTGAGGATGCACACCCAGCGTGCTCACAGTGCTTGGGAATGGCTGAGTCCTGCTGGCACGTGCCCCCTCACAATATCCACAGTGTCCTGGGCACGTGCAGCAGTTCTCTGAGCACCATTAGCTCCGAGTTCCATCCCTGCACCCTCCTTGTCCCTCACTGCTGCCCTTGGGTCTGGCCCAGCCACATCCCTCTCTTCCACTGTCCTACTGCAAAATGCCAAAATGTCCTTTTTCCAGCTCCAAGTTTTCTGCCAAGACAGGGAGAATAGGGAGGCACTTGAGCAGCAGACCCTGAAATGCTGTGCCTGTTTCAGGACCTCTCCAGGGCCATGAGGCTGAAGCAGCTCAGCCCTGGTTGCCCCACAGCACTGAGGATCCCCCTGTCCACATACACGCACTGCCCAGCCTCCGCACAAGGGGGGGTGGCAGTTTTCAGCCCAGAAACGAAAGGTTGTTAATGACATACATATTAGACACAGAAAAACAGATTAACAGTGACACTTTGGCCCTGAGGGCTTTCTTTGGCTCTGGAAATGAATTCTAACCTTGTTCTCTTCTGCCTACAACCTGGAGACATCACGGGCAGGACACCACCTTTAATCTTATTTGCTATTTCCAGCGTGCATTTTATTGCTTCTCTTTTTCTTTAGGTTTCATGTGCTCCTGGCACGAACGCTGTGTATTTCTGTAATAATCTCCTGATCCCTACACTTGTGCAGCTTTCGCTCTGCCTGCCTGGCAGCTGCCTGTGCTTGGGATGAGCCCTGGTCCAGGTCCTCCATGGAAAACCCACAGAGCTAGGAGCTCCTGGCACTGGATCCTGCTGCTGCTAGTTCATGGTATGGGGTGATCAGTCCCTTGGAAAGGAAGCAAGGCAAAAGGGCTGAGGGCTGCAGACAGGCTCCAAATCCCTTCCATGGTGTTTGTGTCATGACTGCTGCTGGCCACAGCCCCGTGGTCCCATGAGCTGGGTGCTGCTCTGGGCATGGAGGAGCAGGACAGGCTACCAGGGCCATACTGGAGAAACTGCCCTGGGCAAACCAGCACACAGGAGCTGCAATGAGCTGCAAGTGGCCTGGGAGGCACAGAACGCTGGGAATCCTTCAGGGTTAATGTCAGGCAAGACAGTGGGGTCTCCAGCTGTTTTGGTAAATCCCAGGCCAGCAGGAGACAGGAGAGCTTGGGAGCAATGAAGGAGGCAAGACGGGAAAGATCCACTTGGGAAGAGAGGCAGGAACCCAAGGAGTAGGGGCTCTAATGGGACCTTGAAAAGAGCCTAAAGGCAGTGGGGAAGAGAGGACAAAGGAGAGGATGGCATAAGGCTGGCAGAAGGAGGCAGCGCCAGCTCCTCACAGGAACAGCTGAGGGGGGCAGGGGGAGCCATGACCTTCTCCAGAGCTTGCAGTTCTTCCTCCAAGCCCCGTGCTTCGAGTTGCTGGCTGAGAAGAGGGAATCTCCTGCAGCGATCCAGTGGGCTCTTTCCTCCTGCAATGCCAGTGCCTGGCTTCCCCCTGCCGGGGATCCCACCAGGAGCTGGCTCCCAGCGCTCTGTCAGCACAGGCGGCAGGGCCGGGAGCGTGCCGATGGCACCAGAAAGCTGTTGTTTATGTGGAGTGGGGTGTAAACAGCAAAACATGTCATGGGAAAGACGTGCCCTGCGCGGATACAAAGACTGGAAGCAAAATTGTTGGCTTTACAAAACATTCCTCCCTTGCAAGCAGAGAAACCTGGAGGTGTCAAGGCACCAGCAGCAGCTTTATTTATCCAGACGCCTCTAATTTTCATGCTTAGGCAATGTGTCTGCTGCCGAGGCTGGATCACCACACGGAGGTAGTGATCTAAAATGGAAAAAGCAACTTTTCCACAGATTTGGTGGTTTGTCATGGAGAGGAACTGAGCGATGGACACTTCCCACCGCGGGAAGAGGAACCTGCAGTGCCCAGTCCCTCGGGTACCCCCGCCCTCGCTACTGTTGCCCAGGCAGGGCAGCATCCTTCAGCCAGAGGGCTGAAGCCCCATGGGGTCTGTCAGTGCCAGGGCCCTGCCCAGCACTGTTGCAGGGGATACAGGCAGTGGGAGGACCAGCCTTGGGTGCGTTCACACCAGCCAGGGATCACCAAGTGCCATCTGGCTCCTCTGGGCTGGTGCTGGGCACATGGCTCCATCACCCTGCCTTGACCCATACAGAGGGGCCAGGACACAGCCCTCCTGGGCAGAAGCTGCTGCCACACAGAGCAGTGGACACAAAGTCCCAATAGCAAAACCCTTGTTGGTCATTCAGGTTTGGCCCCATGAGGACTCAGCCCATCCTCTAGATTCAAAGCTCTCCCGAGCCAGTAGGCTCCTTCTTCTGTAAGAAACTCCATTCCCAGGGAGGAGCAGTGCCACTGCTCCCAACACCAGCCCAGCTGAGAGGCTGCAGGCAGCACAGCTTTTCAGTTCTTCTCTATCGTTCCTTACATCTGCACTGAGTTCTGGGTGTTGTACAGGAGGAAACCTTGTTCCTGCCCTAGACTGGCTGCCAGGAGCCTGCAGCATCCTCGTTTGTGTCGGGCTGGCACTTCTTGCCTGTCTCTCCCTATTACCATCATTCTTCCCAAGGAACAAGACAAGTAGTTTTCTGCAGCTGAACAAGCTTCCAGTGCTGAGAAAGCAGGAGTGATGGTTGTTAATGTCTAAGCGGTGCCGCACACAGCCCTTTGGCTCAAGAGGAGCAGCCAAGTGGAAGCCTGGGCTGTCGGGGTGAGAGAGGGAAGGGAGAGCCGGAGGTGAGGATGGAGCAGGCTGCACCCATACCCTGAGACAGCCGATGGGCTTCCCGGGTCAGCCTGCTTGTGAGGCATCACACCTGGGACAGGCGGGGCTGAGCAGCCCCGGTCCGGCCATGAAATTTAATTCTTGCGTCACTTTGAAGCTTTTCCCTCCTACTTACCGGCGGCACCGCGGCGGCCGATGGCTGCTCCTCCTGCCCTTGCCGAGGACAGAAGCGGCTGCTGCCGTGGGGCGGCCCCGCCGCGCTCCCCGCGGGGGCTGCTGGTTGCGGCTCCGGCACCGGGCAGGGGAGTCCCGGGGACCGGCCGTGCCCCGAGCCCCGGCTGCCGCTTGCGGACGGGGGCTGCTCGAACCACTCCGGTGCCGGTGCCGGTCCCTGCTCCCGGGCGGGGGCCGCTCACCCCGCTCGGGTGCCGGTTCCCTTTCCCGGGCGGGGCCTGCGGGACTGCGGCAGGTGCCGCTCTCGGTCCGGCCGCGGGAGCGGAGGCGGGTGGCCCCGGCCCCGCACCGTTGCTCCGGGCGGTTCAGGGATGGCTGCGGGAGCAGGACGGGGCAGAGTCGGGCAGGACAGCGGGAGCCTCCGGCCCCGGCGGCGCGGCGGGGATCGGACGATCGCACCGGGACCAGGGCCCGGCAGAGCAGGACTCGGCGCGGAGCGAAGCCGCCGCAGCCCCTGGCAGCCCGGTCCCGGAGGAAGGAAGGGCTCTGCGCGGCGGTGCCCCCGGCCCGGCCCGGGTGAGGCAGCGGCCGCCGAGCGGCCGCGGGGGCTCCGGGAGGCGCTGACGTCAGGCGGCCCCTTAAATAGCGGCGCAGCCGCCGCTGCCCCGGCACTTCCCGCGGAGGCAGCGCGGAGCCGCGGCCGCCCGAGCGCGGGGATGGCCGCGGCGGGGCGGCGGGCACGGCGGGGCTGGGGCGGGCACAGCCCCCCGGGGCGGCCCGGCCGCGTCCCCGCGTAGCCGCGGGAGATGCCGGAGCGGCCGCGCCGGGGCCGGGGCGCCGGGGCGGGGGGGGGCGCCGGGCCGGGGCGCGCCGTGCCCGGCGGCGCGGCCCCATGGAGCCATGGCGCGTAGGGCGCCGAGCGGGCGGGTCCTGGCCGCGGCTCCGGCTCCGTCCCGGCGGCTGGCGCGGAGGGTCCTCGTCCTCTTCACTCTCTCGCTGTCCTGCTCGTACCTCTGCTACAACCTCCTGTGCTGCTGCGGCGGCTCCGCCGCGCCCCGCGCCCGCTGCCCGCCCGTCCGCGCCGCCGCCGCCAAGAAACTTCTGCAGCAGTCGCGGCCGTGCGGGCGGGCGGCCCCCGCCGAGCCCCCCGCCCCGCCGGCCGGCAGCGCCCCGGGGGCGGCCCGCCCGGGGACCAAGCGCCTGCCGCGGGCCATCGTGGTGGGCGTCAAGAAGGGCGGCACCCGCGCCGTGCTGGAGTTCATCCGGGTGCACCCCGACGTGCGCGCGTTGGGCACCGAGCCCCACTTCTTCGACAGGAACTACCACCGCGGGCTGGAGTGGTACAGGTGAGGGCGGGGGGCTGCGGGACCGGCCCCCGCCCGCCCCGAGCACCCCTTTTCCCTGGCCGCCGGGCACCCCCCGCCCCGGACAGTCCCCGTCCCGACACTCCCCGGGCACCCCCCGCTTCGGGCACCCGCCACCCCGCTCCCCGCCTCTGTCTCCTCTCCCCTCCCCTCCCGGCGGAGTCGGGTCCGCATCCCTCCGTCCATCGGCGGGGCGGGAGCGGCCGGACCGGTACGGCGGGTGGGCGGAGGAGGCTGTCGCCCGGTCGCCCTCTGGAGTTTTCCCTTCACCTCCTCTTCCCGCAGTGCCGAGTAGGTCGCGGCTCGGTCCCTTCGGAGCGAGCGACTGCAGCCCACTGAGGCCCAGCCCTGCCGATCGGCACTCAGGAACCTGGATGATGCCAGGTTTTCCATCCCGTCTGAGGAGACGCTTACCTGGGTGATCGCCCTCCAAAACGCGCGAATGGCCGTGGGTGGATGGCTGTGTTCCCGCAACCCCACTCGGTGCGCCCCTGCACCCTTCTGCCACCAGGCTCGATTGCTGGCTCTGTGAGAGGAACAGTCCCTATCCTCTGTCATCCCATCTCTCTGAACTCGAATAACTGTGGAATTGTCTGGAGTCTCTTAATAATTTGCAGAGGATGCAAGTGTGTCTCCGGCAGGAGACGACGGGATTTTAACTTCAGTAAAGGCTTTTGTGAGGAGCTCTGGGTGCTCCTCAGCGAGCGGTGCTGTGAGCAGATCACAGCGCCCATGCGATCAGCCCCTGCCCGTGGTGCTGCCAGAAGTTCACCCCCAGCTCCCTGAGGTTCCCACCCGGTGTGTCAGTGGGTGTTGGCTGTGCTGTTGTACAGTGCTGGGTGTGTTTGGGCAAGGCTGTGGGGCTTCCATGGGGCATCAGCCTCAGGAGGCAGAGGAGGGCTCAGCCTGGCCTGGTGCCTGTGAGCTCACGCAGGGTAAAGGACCCTGTAATTGTCCATATGTCGGAGCATCGTGGCAGATGGTGGAGGCAGCCCACGGGGCCCCACTGAGCTTGCTTGCCCTCTGTCTTGGCAAGGGTTTCCCAGAAGAGATGTCCCCAGTTCCAAAGCTGGAACTGGGCAGTGGCTGGCAAACATGGTGCACACTCTCAGCTCTGCTGGGGTTCTGATAGCTGGGGATTGTGCCCAGGGAGGAAGCTCAGGCACTGCACAGGGAGAGCTCTCTGGGATCACGGCAGACCCTGTAGCTGGGAATGTTCAGCTCCTTTTGTGGTGGTACTGGTGGCAGGTGACAGAAGAGCCAGGACAGACACAGGTGGAGCTTGCTGAAGCCCTTTTCCTCTCCTGAGGCTGTCCTGTGGCATGCCTAGTTCCTCCTGCCCTTTAGAGAGTAGCTGCAGCAGTGTCCTTCTCCTGCTTTTGCCACTTGGCAGATCTGTGTCATTCCTTCATCCTCCCCCTGACATCAGGCACTGTCACCCATCCTGCATCCCCTAAAAGACAGCAGCTGGGAGCAGCCCTGCAGCGCAGGCGTGCAAGGACAGTGGTTTCTCTAAAGAGCAGTCAGAGTGGCAGGATGAACCTGGGTCCTGGCTGAGTCCCTCACTCGGAGTTGCTCAGCACCTGCCTGGGAAGCAGCCCCCCCAAATCCTGAGCTGGGCCCCCCCCTGCAATCCCAGTCTCTGAGTGATCTGGGCTCTTTGCTTTCCCTGCGCACGATTGGTGTGGGGAATGTGGGACTGGGAGTTTTGGAGGCAGCACAGGACCAAACCTGTGACACTGCTCCTGCAGGAGGTTCAGGACACAGGGCCTGCCCTGAATGAAGGGAATGTAAGGGCATGTAGCGGCACCTGTGGGCACCAGGAGTGATGCTGGTCCAGGAGACAGGAGCCGGGTCCCCCTTGCCTCACACTTGGCACTGGGAGGCTGCGGCAGAGAGCGGCCAAGCAGACGACCCCCCAAGCCGTGGCTCAGCCTGGGATCTTCCCTGTGAAGAGGCTCGATTGTGACCGGGAGGGATCAGCCTTTGGCGGCAGCGAGGGCGGCTGTGGAGCGAGGCAGGGGCAGCGCTGGGAGCGCGGCCGGGTGAGCAGCACTGCCCGGGGCCTGGCTCTGCCTCTGGATCGATGGAGAGATCGCACTGGAGCAGTGGAGCCTCCAAATTAGTTCAGCTAAAACAATTAAATGACACTTCCTTGGTTTTATTACCTTTTTTTTTTTTAACCTGACAAATGTGCCAAAACTTAAGCACAGAGGCTGCTAATGTATAAAACGTGGAATTGATTTTCCTCCTTGCAAGTGGAGCAATTAAATGTGGAGCAAGTCTAACCACAGCACGATGAGCTCCTGTTGCTCTGCCAAGAGCCTGGGGAGCAGGAGAGCAGGATCCTGCCAGTGGCTGTGGCCCAAAAAGGACAGAGCTGAGGCTGGGGACAGCAGCTGTGGGAGCTGTGAGGGGCTGCCTGCAGCACCCCGAGGGAGCTGTACCTGGCCTGGCTGGGGCTGTCTTCCAGCTGCCAGCTGGAGAGAGCAGATGCTGCCAAGCTTGAGGAGTACCATGGTGGAGGGGGGGCTCTGCAGACAGTGTGGGGCACAGACCCCTTGGAAAGGCAAAGCCATTCCAAATACGAGCAGAGACTTCTCCCGCAGGAGTCCCTGGCTGCTGAGTGCCTGATCTGGCTCTGTCCTTCCCCTGTTATGCCCTAGTTAGAGCTGAGTGGAAAGACCAAGTTGGTCTTTGAGCAGTGTGAGAGCTGGGCCCCTCCAGTGATGCTCCATAAATGTTGGTTACTGTTTTCGCATGTTTACCCCTGCCCTGGCATTTATCTGATGCAGAGATGGCAGAGCCAGTGGGAGGGGACATCTCCTGATCTTCGTGTCCTTGCCGCTCCAAATGTCGTGCTTACTTACAGCTGCTGCTCTCGTGGTGCTCCTGCCTTAGCTCCTGCCATGGCCCAGGGCAGCCATAGCTCCCCCCTGTGCAGGGAAACAGCATGCTGGGCAGAGCCAGACCCCTCGGCTTCCCCCTGGGTAGGACCACCACCCAGGATCTGCTCGCTCACTGACTCCAGACCCAGAGCCCCTGTACCATTTTCAGTTCCCATCAGTCTCTAATCCACCTCATTAGCTACAGATACACTACAGGAAAGATATTTTTAGCAAGGTCTGTTTTAAGACAACTGAAACCAAACAGCAGCTACTGGGGAATATCGATTCATTACCAATTCTGTACTAAATGTTCAATATTGAGCTTTTTCCTGCTGCAAGTAGTGTGGGCCAATAACCTTCAATATTTTCCAGAACACATGGAAGATAGTGTCATTTAAATTGCAGTTAACTTTGAGCAGTGACTCTAATTGCAGCATCTTGGGGTGCAATTGGGGTTTCCTCCTTAGGATTCCTGAGTGACCGTCAGACACTCCAGCGTTATTTTCAGAGAGAGGAGCTTTTCCTTGTGGATGCAGTGGCAGGCTGAGCCTGGCTCCCACCCTGTAGGTCCCATGCAGCCCAGAGGCGGTGCTGGCGCAGGGCAGAGCCCATCTGGTTCCACACCTGCCTGAATCCTGTCTCAGGGATGGCACTTGGGAAGCCCAGCTTCCCCACGTGCCACTGCCACAGGTCCCTGGAGCACCGTCCCTGGAGCTCTGCCCACCACCCCTCACCCCCCCCTTGCCTCTGGTTTTGGGGTGCCCCCAGTGCTACAGCAGCACGAGGAGCAGTGCTGGCCTCGGAGAGGTGGGCACTGCGCTGCCCTGGGGAACAGACCTGCCAGCCGGGAGCATCGAGATGTCCCTGCGACCAGGGCCCCACGGAGGGCAAGGAGGGAGCCGGCAGAGCCGCTCCCGCTCCACCCGCTAATTGCTCCCGGCTAATGGCTGGGCTGGCTCACACACAAATGGGAGCCCATTAGGCTTTGCCCGGCGACAGGGAGTGTGTGGGGGCTTGACTGACAGTGCATTTTGGTAAAGTTAATTAGTGAGAAGAGAGGAAGGCAGCAAGCTTCAAGGATGCTTTGAAATTTCCTTGACTTCAGAGAGTGCCCTCGGTCTCAGGAATGGACATGGGAGCCCTGGCAGAGTCTGTTGTGTGAGGAGGTGTCCCTGGCAGCATGTTCCCTGGGTACTGCTGTGCCCACGCTGCCTGTGGGCAGCAGTCCTGCCTGTCCTGCCCTCTGGGTGGGCCAGGTCCTGCCAATACCCTCACTCAGTCCAGGAGGGCTTCCCTCCACAAAGAGCTGGGGGAGACGCTGGAGATAAACCCACGTGAGATGCCAAGCCTTTGACATTAACGATGCTTATCCTTGCTCTGTTCCTTGACCTTGTTTGTAAATGCTGCAGTTTGTTCTTACCTTTGCTTTGGAAGCACTAGACCAGCTGGTGACCTGGTGTGCCATGGGCACAGCTGCTCTGTGAGGCTTGTGAGCAAAGGATGCCAGGCCCTGGTGACCCTGGGTGTCCATGGCAGGGCCAGGCACTGCCCACAGCGTCTGTCCATGGTGTCTGTCTGGAGATGGCTGGTGCCAGGGAGCAAGGAGCAGAGCTGGCTCTCAGGGCAGGCAGTGCCCCCTGTGAGTGATGA